AGAAGATAACTATCACATAAAAAAGTTGAGCTTTTTAAAGCTGTAGAAAAGAAGTCACTGCACAGCTGGGTTGCTATGGTGCAGAAACCACGAGGTGTGGTTTCATTATACACTGTACATAAAGGTGTCTTAATTTCTGACGCATCGACCCTCTTCCCACCTCCTTCTCCCCTGTACCTTCAGGCACGTTCAGGTGAATCGGCCCATGAGTGAGAGGTGCCCAGGTAAGGCGTGCGCAAACCACCGACTGTTAGCTAACGCAGTGATGCCCACAGGGGTCAACCTGAGCAGTCCCACCACTGCCCATCACGGCTCCTGTCTCGCTCAGGGATTTCCCAGTACGCCTCAAATAGTAAGTGCAAACAGCTAGTGAAGAAGAATGTGAAGGAACACAGAATTGTGTGTTTAAATCAACAGGCACTAAATTCATGTTGTGCTGTATCAGGTCAAAATACGGAGCTGTGCTTCAGCCAGGGTGGGTGGGCTGCGGAGGGGCTGGCAGCATGCAGCCGGGACGGAACCAGCAGCTTCACACCCCCGGGCAGATTTCAGGGACAGAAGGAGCAGTGGCAGCGTTGGGGTCTGGCACTGGGAGGCTTCCAGAGGAGCTGCGGGCAGAGCTGGGACACGGTGCAAGTGTCTGCTCGGTGTCCCTTGCGAAGGGTCGGTGACTGTGTCCCTGCCGGGGGGGCTACACAGCCCTGGGGACGATCTACACAGTTTTGTATCAGCTGAGTGCAACAGGCTTGCGCTTGGAGGAACAGGCTAAAGAGCTCTCAGGACAAAGAGCGATCATTTTTCATACATTTTTAGAATAAAAGGAGACTAGAGGAAAGCCATGCTCTAAGAGGGAGTGAGCTATGTAGTCACAGAGCTATTAACCTTGTGATCAGTGCAGGAGCACTCTTAGTGTGGATGATAGCAGGTTCATTTGAAAAGGTGGTGATATAATTGATACCAGCTGATGTGATTTAATGGAAAAATAGACCTTTTCTAATGAGCTTAATAGTGCTTTTATGAGGGGGTTGTGGTAGTGAAATAGATTTATAAGTAAATATGACTTGCTATCAATATTTGGCTTAAAATGTCATAAAATCCATATTAAATGGACTTAAAGTGGCTAAATGAGACATTTCAAAGTGGTTTTAGTGTCGGGAAGGCATCAGTGAACAGGCATACGTCGGCTTCATTTGTGGGCCAGTGTTATTCGAAACTTTGTCAGTGATTAAGAGGGAATGTTTGAAGGGCTGTTGATCAAGATGAATAATGAGACAGAGATTTGGGAAACTGGAAGGCAAATTAGTCAAATTATAGCATTTTCTGTTGTCTGATGCCCACAAACAAGAACACTAGCCAGACAAGAAAAATGCACTTATTTCATTAGCAAACCCAAGTTGGGAGAAAAATAAGTCCATTTGGGCTGAACAAAATTCTTCCTTTGATACAAGATGAAATATTTTCTTCTGGGTAGTAACAGGAGAAACAGGCAGCCCAAAAACCAAGGGCTGAAGCGAAGAAAAATCCAGCCACCCCCCC